GTGGGGCCCGGGCGCCGGGGTGGTGGCACTGGCCTGGGGCTGTCTGTGCCCAGCCTGCTCCCATGGGCTCAGTGAGCTGGGGTGGACAGCCCCAGAGGGCAGGGATGAGGCCAAATAAGGAAGGGTGGGCAGAGGCAGCCAGGCCTGGGCAGTCACTGCTGTCGGAGAGCCACGGGGGCTGGGGAGCGGTGCCCAAGACGTAGGAGCAGTGGGCACCGGGCCAGGCACGTGGAGCCTGGTGGCCGCCAGGGTCGTCTGCTGTGGCCTGCTCCCTCATCTGCTTCACTGCACTGGGCACCATGGGGCTTGCTGTCCTGTGGACCGGCTCCCTGGTGTCACTCATGGCTCTGTCATCCCCACGCTGGCATCTTTGGTCACTGTGGCAGCCGGTGACCTGTTCACATAACGTGACCGCGCTGCTTTGGCAGGGGAGGCTGAGCAGGAAGAGGACGGGGCCCTGAGCCCTGGAGGGGAGAGGAAGAAGAGCAGGAGGGGGCCCAGGAGGGCCGGCCCTATGCCACACACAGGAGCTGCCGGCCGGAAGGGGACCCACAGGAGGAAGAGGCGGCCTGGGCAGCCACGTGGGGCCCGAGGAAAGGCGGCTGGGACCCAGGAGTCAGCGAGGAAGAAGAAACGGCCGCCGGAGAGTGGGTAGAGATGTGACTGGCGGGGACAGGTGGAGGCTGTGCGCCGAGCTGACGTGAGGCGGGGTACCCATGGTCCCCACCTCAGCCGGGCTCGTGAAGAGGGCGGGCCCCGGAGACGGTGTTGCCCTTGGCTCAGATTCAAGCCCTGGAGACTGAAAGCCCCACCTGTGTGGTGCCCTGGGCCACCAGGGAATAAAACGCTCTGGTGTGTGCTTGTGCTGTTGTGTCCTGCCACCCTCGTTCTCAGACTTGGGGCTGAAGCACGTGGCTGACAGCCCTGCGGGGACTCAGGGTGGGGAGCACCCGGCCTTTGGTGTCAGTCCGGAGGCCGAGCTGAAGCCGGGTTGGGTCCCTGCCTGGAGGAACAGTCACCCGGGAGCCAGCCACAGCCCCTCTGGTCCTGCCCGGCCAGCTGTGGGGCTGGGGTGCTGAGAGGCCCTGTGGAGGGAGGGGCGGAGGCACAGCCACCTGATGCTGGGGTTTAGATGGGTCCTGGAGGCCTCCTCGAGGCCCTGCCTCCTGGGTCGGGCCACAGCTTTGATCCCTAGCGCTTCAAGGAAGGAAAGCCGGATGTGGTGGTACTGCCCACCTGTGACCCCAGCGTTCTTTGAGGCCAAAGCAGGAGGATCATAAGTTTGAACCCACCCTGGGCAACCTAATGATGACTTAGATCCTGTTTCAAGGGGAAAAGGCTAGGACTGTGGCTCAGTGTGAAGACCTCAGGTTCAACCCCTGGTACCACCACCACCACCAAAAAAAAAAAAAAAAGGGGAACAACCCATACACCCGTAGTACAGAGGTTTCTGAATAGGGCCAGGGGTGCAGCTCAGGGGCACAGCGCCTGCCTGGCAAGTGGGAGGTCCTCAGTTTGATCCCCAGTACCAAAGAAAAATTCCTGAATAGGCAACCAGTCTTAACCCAATTGCGTAGTTACATTGTGAGCCGGGAGCTTTGTCTTTCTCGAGGTCTGTCCCCACGGGGAGGGTCAGCGTGGCCCGTCGCACTGTCCTCCAGCTCCTGTCCCACTGTCCCGGTCTGGGCCTTGCTACCCACTGAATGTGGGCGCCCCTCACCACCTCCACAGGGCCTGAGTGCTCGTGGGGCTCTGGCACCTGCCAGGACCTCTGCTCCCCGGACACCCTCAGCGCGGCTCCCCCGTCTCACGTTTCTCATTGTGGAGACAAAACATCCGACACTTCAAAGAGGACAAGTTTATTTAGCTCAGTTTTTCGAGGTTTCAGTCCACAGTCAGCTGGCTCCAAGGCAGAGTGGCTCACGGCAGAGGAGAAAGTTCATGATGGACAGAAGGTAGCAAAGCAACAAGGAACTTTAACAGCATCTCCCTGCCCCTTTCGTGCGGACCACTTAGGGCAGGCAGCGCTCACACCCTTCATCCTGTTGCCCTTGAGCCCAGTACTGCACCACAGATCAGTCACACGCTAGATGCAGCCACCTCTGGAGAAGCCCCATTGATGACTGCATGAGGCCTTGGGGGCATTGGGCACAGCCGTGACACCCCTCCTGGCCTAGTCTGAGGTGCCTGCTGAGTTGCATGGGGTGTGTAAGTGCTGGGGCCTCTGACATGCCCTTTGTCCTTGTGGCAGAGCTAGGAGGACTGGGGAACTGGGGAGGTGGCTCCCCCTTTAAGGCCATTGAGGCAGTGCACGTGTGTGAGCTCCCTGGTGGGCTCAGGCCAGTGGCCTCGAGGTGACCAGTCCCTTTGTGCCAGCTGTGACCACTCCTGCCCTGGAGTGCATGTGTCCTCAAGGCCCAGCCGGACATCAGCAATGCGCTGAGAGTTAGGGCCCGCGATCACTTCTCAGTCTTTCTAAGAAACGGCTGCCCTGAGCGTACTGCCTCCCTCGAGACACTGGTCAGGCTGTCACACATTCGCAGGGTGGTATGGCAGTCATCTTGCCGGAACATCTTCGTTACCAGGAAGAATCTCAGCACCCCATTTGTTTCAAGCATTCGCCAGGAGCAGGCTGACCAGCAGAGGTCCAGGTCAGCCACAAGAAGCCAAGCCCTGGACTGGGGAAATCACTGGACAGACCCCTCACGTGTGAAGGCAGCCTGGTCCATCCTCACCAACTGCTGGCTCCCTGGCTAAGGCTGGGTCCATGTGGCCCTTGCCTTGTCCCGGGGACCTGCACAGATGCAGTACCACAACCTGCCTGTGGAGGGTGCCATTGGCCCCAGAAAGGCTCTGAAGCCAGGGCCTCATGGTGTCTCTGGTCCCTGGGGTGGGGTGGGGTTCATTCTGGTTTCCAGGAAAAGGGGCGCCCAGAGGCTCCTAACAGCTGTGCAGAGCTGCTGCCTGTGTCCCTGTCTGGCTGCATGAGGTCAGTGTCCAGTGCCTCGAGCTCAGGACCCACCCCTACCTGTGCCCCGTGCTGGGAGGTGCTGGCTGCTCAGAATTCTGAGAGGAAAGTCTGCCTGAGACAGGTGGAGGCTGTGCCAGAGGAAGAGCGGGCATCTCGGGCAGGCCTGCTTGCTTCCCCACGGGATGAGTGATAACACTGGGCCTAATAAAGCCTAGAGAGACATCAGCCACCCTGTGGGTGACCCAGACTTCCAAGCCCATCCTTTCCTCAAAAAGTCCTTTGTTCTTTCCATGTACCCTTGTGTGATGTGTTTCCCCATTAGGTCAAGATTACCTAGCCCGCTACACTGGTACTCTTACCGTCTGATCGTAATCCTGTACCACGTATGCACCTTGTGAGTTTGCTCTGTAGAGCTTCCTGTATAAAGTCAGGTCCCTGGCAACCCGTTTGGGTCCCCCACTGTCCCCTCTTGTCTCTCAGGAGCTAAAATCTTTCCCTCTTGATAAATATTTGCTACTCTTAACCTCTGTTCCTTAAAAATCATTCCTTGATTTTAGAGAGCGTGACTCCTGCATGACACCTGATGGGGACTTGTATTTCTCCTCTCTGTCATTTAGAAGTCCTCTATTGCCAGCAGGGGACTGCAGTCCCAGAGGCATCTGTGCCTTGTTGAGGAGCCTGCTGTGGTCCCTGGGTGCTCCTTGTGCTTGCCCCACGCTGTTTGCAAAGCTACGGTGGCCTTTGTCCCTGTGGGCGTCTGCGGGAGGGTGGAGGGGCCTCCTGGGGACGCTGTTCTTGCAATCCCTGCCCTGTGCCAGCGGCCGTGGCCCTTCAGCCATCCCCATGGGCCCAGACCCCGAGTTCCAGGCCCTCTCGCTGGGCCCCTGACATCTGCATAGGTGCCCGGAGCATTGTCTGGGGAGGACTCTATGCCTCCCCCAGGTGAAGAAGCTGTGGGCTCTCAGCCTAAAGGATTTCCCGGTGTGGGCACTCAGGCGGGGGGGAGCCAGGGCAGACCCGTCGTCCCGTCTGCCAGGCGGAGGTGGAAACAGACCCACCCCTGGGCTGGCTGAGGGTTCACCACATGCGCGTGAGAAGCGTGTCAGGCACAGTGGCCATCGGCGTGTGTCACAAGTAGGGACAAGTCCCTCTGCTCATGGGGCGTGGAGCGCTCCACGCCTGGAGGACTTCAGGAGGGGGACAGGGAGACCCAGAGCCCAGGGAGTCCTGGGCCACTTCCCAAGGCAGAGCGTCAGGGTCGGTCTCCCAGCGGCAGGCAGGGAGCAGCCTCCGGCAGCACGGAAACTCATTCATAGCGGGAGGAGGCAGTAGAGCCCCTGCCAGCCTGCCAGGGACGCGCCTCAGTCAACGGCTCAGTGAACTGTCCCTCGTGCTCTTGAAACCTGAGGGCTGCGGGACAGTAGTAATTTGCGTCTCCTAAATAGTCACCTATAAATAGTGGGAGAGATCTCTGCAGCCAGCAAGGGAGGCCCTCAGAACAGCAGTGAACTCAGGAGCAAGGCACAGCGACCGTGAGCTCACCGCATGCCCTTGTGCCCCAAAACGCAGCAGGTCCCAAGGTGGCTATGCAGGATGGGACGGCAGAGCAGCTTCCCGGTGTCCATCCTGGGCGCAGCGTTCACTCGGCAGACCTCCCCTCAGCCCCGCTGCGGGAATGCAGTCTCGTGACCCTGGGAAGGTGAAGCTGCCCAGGGCAGGGGCTGCTGGAGCGGATCCCACGGTCAGCTCGGCCCCACCCACCGAGGTAGGAGCCCTGGCTTTCCTACTCCCCCCAGGCTGCTAGGGAGGGAGCCCACTTGTCCCCTGCCTGGACGGAGCGCCTCCTGTCTGGGATGGAGGTGTCGGAGCTGGGCCCTGGCTCCCTCTTCCTGCCGGTGGCCAGCAGCGCCCCTTCCCACCAGTCCTTCCCTCCCATGGAGCTCGAGCTCCCGTCCTCCCGGCTTCCTCCCACCGCCAGGTCAGGGCTGTCACCCCTCCAGTGTCCTCTGTCCCTCCCCGGGGTCCTGGGCCCTCTGTGCCCAAGTGTCTCTCGGACGGCATTGGGTGGCTCCCTCTCACGCTGATGGAGCAGTAGAAGGCAGCAGGGCCAGCCTCTGCCCCCCACCCCTGTCTGTTCCAGAAACGTATTCTGCAACTGTTCGAGCTGCAGTGATCCCACCAGATGTTTCGGGAATGTCCTGCACTAGAGCTGTAGCGTTTGCTGGGGCACCAAGCTGCTCTGCTTTGCTACGATAGGAGAGGGTGATAGGCCTGGCTGTGAGGAGTCTCCGAGCCCCTCAGCTGGCCCCAGGGACAGGCTGACACCACTGGGCAGAGAAGGGGTGCAGCAGGAGGCTGAGGCCTCCCCGGGTGCACACAGGATCCTTCACACTCGCTGCCCACAGGGCTCTGTCCTCTGACAACTCCCCATGAGTTCTGGGGGTCCCCATGAGTCTGCATCTCATGATGCCAGCTGTGCCTGGGGGCACCCATCAGCCCCTGTCTCCTGGGACCCTGAAGACCTCTGCCCTTGCAGAGAAGTGACCCACACAGAGATGCCCAGAAGGGATGCGAGGCGCACGGGCGGGCAGGGAGCCAACTGGGGTGTGAAGAACTGCACAGGCGAAGCAGGGGCATGGGCAGGGTCTGGGCTGGGGTAGAGCTTGCCCTGCGGGGACCTGGGCTCTGATTCTGGGCCCTGGGGGAGGCACTGGAGTTGCAGCCCAGCTGCCATCTTCCTGTGCCAGTGCCTTCGAGTGTTCTGGTCAGGCGCCACCCTTTTCCCACACAAGCAGACCAGGGACAACGTTGGAGAGACCAGGGTCATGCAGCTGCTGTGGCCCTTGGCTGCCTTTTCTGCCATCCCAAGAGCATCTGGGTGTGGTGCT